ATGGAATGAACTTTGTAAAATATTGGGACGAGTCGACTACAATAGATATTCCTTGGGCTTTGTACAACACAGGACCAAGAAGAAATAAGCGTTGGTAGATTGTGTTGCGTCAAACACTTGCCTTTAAAAAAAGAGCTTTCTAAATTAAGGCTAATTATTTGGATTCAATAATCACATCTTATCTCTGGTGGAAAATATATGACTCTCTCAACCACGAGACACGCTACTGATATTTGCTAACCTGAAGTTAAAATATCAAAGACTAAATTAAGTGGATATTTTGGCGAGAAGGATTGCGTTTCTCCAATTTTGTTTTTGTATTTAACGTGGTTTAAACTCTGATGTTATTGGGAAGCAACCATCTACCTCAATTACGTAGATTCACTATAATAATAGCTAGCCAGGAGTAAACTCGTTTCATAGTCGTAAAAGTTTCAGCAGGCAACTTGAAGAAATTTACTGTTCTTTGAAAAAACATTCTTCACCCATTAATCTGTACACATAAAATGTAATAACACACACACACACACACACACACACACACACACACACACACACACACTTTGAGGGGTAAATAGCAGGACAGACTGGGTTCTATAGCCGTGGATGGCAACTGGTCTAGGAGAAGGACAACTCTGAATTCAAAACATGCACCAGTTCTCTATGTGACGGCACTTGGTCCAGGGTCGAATCCTTTGGTCACGGCGCCAACGGTGACGTCGCTCCTCCGGTCGCTCCTTGCTGCTCCAAGTGTGACGTTCCAACCCCTTGGTTAGATGATTACCAGCCTCGCCTTTCCCAACTCGCTTCCAACACCTGGTTACCAGGGTAACTGTACTGATCTCCGGGTCTGCCTACCCACGTTGTGATTAGATCTTAGACAGACGGGATCAAACAGGGATTGGGGCCGTATGCAAGCTGAGTTCGACGGGGTGGCAAACACAAGTAAAAGAAAAAAAAAACTCACGAGACCAAAATTACTGATAAAAAAGGGTAACAACCTTTTTATATCTAATGTTCGTTACATAAAGATTATTCTTACTTCCCGACCCGCTTTGTGGACTGGCACCAAGCTTCTATCATACAACTTAAAGACTTCAGGTTGCCTACTCTCTAGAATTCTGTGTGTCGGAGTGTGGTTTAGTTTTGACACTGGGCGCTAATCTCTACCAGTCGTTCACGGCTGATTCTTCTCTTCGGCTTGAGTTGGACGTATTTCTTCACTTCGATTTGGTTTGAGACGAATTTCTGTTCTTGGGCTTGGTTTGATTTCAACTTCTTCTATGCATAACTGCAAGTAACTTCTTCTTCTTCCGTCCTGCAACTCTTCTCTCTGCCGTCTGAGGGTGATCTGAGCTCTCTGTCGTCCGGGGCTGAACTGAGCTCTCTGTTTGGCCAGCAACTTTACTGCCTGTCTGGCCTGCAACTCTTCTCTCTGCCGTCTGAGGTGGACCCTTCTCGCTGCCGTCCGGGGCTGAACTCATCTCTGTCGATTGGGGTTCTGCTTTTATTGACGCCGCAACAAACTGGGGTGGGTCTGTCGGCGTCAGAGTTTTCTCGATAATTCCAAAAGTCGCATTATTTCTGATTTCCCATTATCGCTCTTATTTTCACCTCTACTTCCTCACAGTGCCTCTGGTGGGGAGGCGCATACCCATCTCTCCCGGTCTCTCGTATGTCAGGTGACCGTTTTCGACCAATGGGTCTTGATCGAGCGTCTTTTCTCCTCTTTCTCGCATATCACGTGACCGCTTTCGGCCAATGAGATTCTGGTTGGGCGTCTCCCGTATTTCGTGACGTCCCCAATCGGGCGTGGCTTATCCCGTCGTTGTTCTGGGAAAGAACACCTTGCTAAAAAAACAAAATCTAATTTGGCCTTTTTCGCACGCACGAAAAATGACAATCTCGGCCTTTCTCACCTTTCTGGTTCCTGTCAAAACAGCACGCCGCTAATTAGATGTGACTTCAGGAAGAATTTTCTCCGTCTTACTGGCGCTTTCTGTGAGCCAAGAACAATCGTTTTCACCTCTTTGTTTTTGCTCAGACCTGATAGTCAAAAATCTTAATTATCTGAATTGAAAATGTCTTCACTTCATCATCGTGGGGGTTCTAATTTTTAACAGGTCAGAATCTGTATACAATTCCAGCGGTCACCTTCTCATCCCAAAAGACACCTTTCTCCGATTAATATTTCGTTTTCCATTGTTCTAAAAATCCCATTTCTCCAAATTGATAATGAGTCTTCTACACAAAAGTAGGCCAGATGCTTTGACCGACATTTTTATCAATCGTACATATGTTCATACACTTTTACCAAGCCTGTTTTCTTTCTTTCTTTTAATTACCTTTAATTCTATTCTCCCAAATAACAATCTCCATTGTCACTTGAAATTCGGTCAGGCGCGTTGGCCTCTTGACACCTGTTTTCGCTAATGACCGGCCTATTGCATTACTCATCCTCTTTCTCTTTTTCTTTCTCTTTTTCTTTTTTCCTTCTTTTTTTTTTCTTCCCTTAGGATCGCCTAAGTACAATTAGAGAATTATTCTCGAAACTCAATTATTCTTCGTCTAAAATACTAACAACTGGTTAATAAACCGAATAAAAAAAATTAAATCATATTTCTATGAATATTTCCTTTCTTTAGTTTTTTTCTAATAATGCAGGAGTGTGGTTGCTTCTGCACAAACCTTCACTCGTATAATCAAAATCATATGTACTGGTGTCTGGGCTGTTGCTTCCCTAGGAACTGAGCTGCTTGACCCTCATACGTCGAATACAACGGGAGAGTTCACCATATATATATATATATATATATATATATATATATATATATATATATAACTAAAAAAAGTTGCAAATTAAAAAAATAATAATGTTTTTTATGAAAGTATTTATTTATATTTGATATTTCAGATCGACCTCGATCTTTCTTCAGAAATAACTGTTTTTAGAGGTTTGTTTACAAGTAGCGTCCGTCGCGAAATGCGGATGTCACGTGATATGGAACGCCACTGTGTTCGAATATCTTTAACGTAAATCTAACTGTAATAATATTTTAGATGTTGTTTAAAATTTTTTTTAACTATATCTAAAAAAAATGTTTAACTACTGAAATATTTATAAAGATTTAAAATGGTAACTTTATCGGGATTGGTTTGTTTATTTATTTACTTGGATGAATTTAGGTCAATTTATAACAATAAAATAAACAAAATTAATTTATCCAAACAAACTACCAAATCACACCTGTTAGAATAGACGAAATAGAATAATAATAATAATAATAATAATAACAAAAAACAAAAACAAAACAAAAAACAACGAACCCAAATAAATAAAGTAAATAATAAACAAAGTAGCAAACCATTATGACCAAAATATTAGTTAGACTAAAAATCAAACCAAAAATCTGAGGAAAAATAGCTATAACTGTTATATAACGAGAAAAAAAATACTACGTTACTTAAAAATCGAAAACCGAAAGGAGAAAAAATACAAGTAAAATAAAGCTACCATTAGAAAAAACAAATAAAGATAATCAACCCAAATAAACACAAATTAAAAACTGTTTCTGCCAAAATAATAGAATAAACTACAACAATCAACCCCAAAACCGAACAAATAGCTTTAATTAAATTCTCAAACCAAAACAAAACTATTAAATAAGTGATATAAACAATTTTTTTTTTTAGTAAAAACACCGATTAAAATAAATAAATAAAATAAGAAACAAAAAATAAAAGTAAATAAAAACAAGCAAAATAATTTAACCCAAATAAATAAATAAACGACTTCCGATAAAATAACCGCCATAATAGACTACCCACAATGCACCACTGACCCGTATATATATAAATAGCCGGGAAAAATAACAGCACACGTGGCCAGACGATTGCATGTAGCATGAAACAGACTGTGGCCTCTCTCTCTCTCTCTCACTATATATATATATATATATATATATGTGTGTGTGTGTGTGTGTGTGTATGAAAAGTGTATATATATATATATATATATATATATATATATATATATATATAATTATTTATATATTATATGCGCGGTACTTATTAGGAAGCGCTCAATTGACCCAAGCCTTGTCAGTGAAACTGGGTAGACAGAACCTTTACTGGGTCGCCGATAGCTGTGCTAGCACGAAGTCGCAAGCCATCATAGCCGAGGACTTGAGCTCGCTAGCCTTGTTCAAATTGCTGATCACGCTAGATAACACACTCTTTCCCAGAAATTGTAACTAAGGTCTGCTCAGCATAGGTGGTCTCTCTGGGTGTTGAATAAACACAAATGTACCTTAGCAAGCGTCTGTAATAGAGATTGGCTAGCCGCCCTAGTAGACGGCTATCCCCGAATACAAGTGGCTAGCTATACATATAAGGTGAGGGTGATTGAAAAGTAACACTTTATGTACTTTGCACTCTCGTGTAGCTGTAATTTTTGTAAGACAGGGGAGTCCCACTTACAGAAAAGTACCAAAGAGTTGTGAGTTCAATACCAGGCTACAGCCATGGTGAACCAAAAACTTGGATAGTTGAGTCAAAGGGAAATAACTGAGACACCCGGAAGCGGCATGGCACGTGGAACTAGAACAATCTACCTCGGTTGACGAAATAAAGGGTTCGGTTCTAAATTCCAATCACCTTAAGAAGGCCGTAGCGTACAACAGCCGAAACGTTGTGAATATGGTAATGAAGATGAGGATAACAGTCCGAATAATGTAAATAATGTAAGTAATCATAATACGTCCTCTCAGAGATATAGACAGATAAAAATATGTATTAACAAAGAAGTTATTCGATGTCACATTCATGTTTTATATATAAACAAGATGAATCTTTTCAATGTTAACAATGTACTTGATACAAATATTTTCGATAACATTTCCTTCCTTTGATCGAATAAAACTGTTTTCAATTCCAACTCCTGAAGTGAAGCTTGACCAATGTTGATTAACATGATACTTACTCTTGGACGTATCCGAGATATGACCAGTGGAGTCTTTCACTCTTCAATGGACGTGAGCCTTTCCTTCCTGCAAACCTGTCCAGAGACAGACTGGTCCCTACACGAAGACAAGACAGGAAGCATTTCCGTTGGTTGGCACACGACACCAGTCAGCCAGCATAATGGTGGTCACGTGGTGTTATTAGCGTCCTGGGTTTTAGACTTAGAGTTTATCCTGAAAACTTTGTCGTCTGCTTTCCTTCTGTTTCCATCCTTTCTTTATTTTATTACTTTATTCTTTCATTTTTATTCATTTTTTTATGTGCTTCTTCCTTCATTATTTGTGCTAATGGTAATTATTTTCTGTCTTTTGTTTATTTGGTTTCAGTTCTTTTTTTCTTTCTTTTGTTTTTTTTATTAATCTTACCTTCTTTCTGTCTTTCCTTCAATTGTTCCAATTTTCTTTATTTTTTCTTATTGTTTTAATTGTTCTTGTTTATTCTATTTTATTTTATTCATTACTTTTTAGACTTAATGTATATTCATTTATATTTCCTTTCTATTTTTCTTTCTCTTATCTACATTTTGATTGTCATTTTTTTCATCTTTCTTTTCAATTATCGTTCTTTTTATCTTTTTGTAGTCTCTTCTTTCTTTCTTCTTTCTTCTTACATACTCTCTCTTTCATTCTTCCTCTCTGATTCCTTTGTCATATCTTTCTTTATTGTTTTCTTTTTCATTTTTATTCATTTGTTATTTGTATTCTTTTCTTTATTTATTCTTGTTTCATTCATTCTATCTTGTTTTTTTACTTTTTATGCTCCTTTCTTTTGTATTTATTTTTGATTTTTGTTTAATTTTCTTTCTATTTTTCTTTTGTGTACTATATCCTCTCTTTCTTTTTAGTAGATACTTCGTTATTTCTTTTATCTTTCTTCATTTTCTTTCTTTCTTGTTTCATTTCCATATCTATCTTGGTCCTTACCCTTTCTTTCTTTTCTTTCTTTCTTTCTTTCTTTCTTTCTTTCTTTCTTTCTTTTCTTGTTTTTATAAAACAGTAATTTGAATGTTGTCGGTGGGGAGAGAAGAAAAAGTAAATGTTGAAGGTCATCCGTTCTTTCCGACGAGCAGATATATGAGATAAATTCCTCTTATTTTTTCTTTTCCTAAATTCGGGACTTTTTTTTTAATCCTACTTTTCCCCTTCCCAATTCGACTTTCCCGCCATCATTTACCGGTTATAATTTCATCTCGATTGACATCTTCCTTTTTGTTCAAACAACAGAACGGTCAGAGAGTTGGGAAAATCTCACTTGGTCTTTAACACGTCAAGACCAGTAACTTTTGACCTTTGCAGCCATTTTCTCTTTTGGTTGTCACTTGTCTCCTTTCTTTCGTCTTTCGACTTTTTTTATTGCAAATAGTCTTGATCTTATTTTCAATTTTTCTTCTTTGTCATTGACGTTTTTCCTCAGGCGAATTCTTTCTTTCTTTTAATTTCATTCTTTCTTTCTTTCATTTGAACGCCATTTTTCTTTCTTTCTGTTGAAACTTAAGAAGTGTTACTGAATGAGGAATAACTAAAACGGAGGTTGGAAATGAAATGGTAATCTTTATAACGTCAAAAAATACAATACTCGCCAGCGGCGTGAAGTAGGTAAACCACTGACAGCGTAGACAGCATATTACCCTAACTTACAAGTGTCCAAAGTATTTATGAGAATTGGGACACACCCATTAGTTTTCATATATAATACTTTCTTTCATTACATTTTTCGAAACTCTTCATTTTTAGAAACTTCGGAAACCATTCTCGACTCGTGATTACACCTACAGTAAACTTACCATCAATGATAACCTTCATGAGAGTGACACATTAATCCTTCACAGGATAACGTTCTCTGCTGACATGAAGCGAAAAAATTATATTGAATCAATTGCTAAGTTTTCTGCTAGGAAGGTTGGTTCACTGTATCGTGAAAGATAATTTTTCTCGCCAGAATCTATCTTACGTATTTATAGGTCTATCATTCGTCCATGCTTTGAATATTGCTGCCACATTTGATCTCATACTTCTGCTATATATTTAGAGATTCTTGTTAAAATCCAAAGAAGAATTTGCAATGTTATTGGTCCTGATATAGCATCTCGGTTTCAGTCACTTTCTCACCGCGATAACGTGGCTTCCCTGTGTCTTTTCTATAAATATTTCCATGGTAATTGTTCTGGTGTACTTTCCTCTTTAATACCTAGACTTTATGAGTTTAAGCGCAGTACTAGATTGGCGGAAATATCTCATCATTTTTGCACTTGAAACGGCTAGACCTAACCGTAAGTTCTATGCTAACAGTTTCTTCTCTCGCACTTCTCGCTTGTGGAAATTTCATCCAACTCCAAGCTTTTCAGTCGGCTTTGATCTTCAAAATTTAAATGTAATGTCAATTGTTATCTACTATCGTCATCTTCTTTTATTCTTCTCGTTTCTTAATAATTTTGCTCTTTTTTCTTAAACTTTCACATTCAGTAACCCTTTGTTGCCTTGCTTGGGGTGAACTAATTAATTGATAAACGCCTTTAACGACGCTTCTAAAATTTCTCTAAAACTGTGTAAAAGGCGACACTGAAAATTCTTTGCAATAAGCTAACGACTGGGTGTTCAAATGTTCTAGAACCAAACTACTTACTAACATTTGAGCAAAAATCGTTTTTGGCAATCCCTTCTTAGTCAGGCTGAGAACTTTTCAGAAGCACTTCATCCATCTGTTAGTGTACATATAAACATATTCGTGTGTTTCTAGAGCTTCAGTGTTTATAGATGAGGGTTGGTGGACTTGCTAAGATGTGATTGAAACAGCAAAACACATTACGTTTGTTTTTGCTATTTTTAACTTCTTTCTTCATCTTCTTACGAATTCATCGCATGAAAGTCTCGAACTAATGAAGTTGCTGGAGGGAATGATGGAGTAACAACGCGAAATGCAGCCGCATGTCACGACAGAAATTAAAATAATGGCAGAATTAGATTTTTACGTGTGTATGCATCGGTTAACATCAACTGATTTATTCATTAACTTTCTCTCTGGAGCCGC